TGGTCACACAACTACATCACTGAGCCGCCGACTGACTATGCACTTACAAGACGGAGGACCCAAGGCACATCTTCATGACCAGCACGGAACCCGACTCACGAGAGACTTACTGACAAACAACACCACAATAATAGCGCGACAAAACGACAAACGACGACTGGCCATCACCGAAACCATCATCATCCGCGACACATCACCCATCATCAACACACACATGAAAACTCTGACAAACATTCCACTGTTCGACAGACAAATGATGTAATGTGTGAAAGTTTAAACGATGTGTCATCTGTGAATTATGATGGTTTGTTGTTGTTATGCGCGACCCAATGTAAATATTCACGGTAACGATGTTAAGACCTGTGTATTTAGCTGGATGTAGATTTGTGTTCGAAAGAGTGGTGCCATGATACAAATAGGACGATGTTTGAAGAAATGTTAATATTTTATTCATCTGTGACATATATTGCGCGGCATCATTTGTGTATATTCATTTCTCTGATGATGATCAATGTTGATCGAAAGCTAAGATAAATATAACAGCGAACGAATTATGAACGAACTTTAATTTACATCCTAATGAGTAACCGATTTACGACAACTTTAATCTCGATCGCAGCCATTGCTTCTTTTGGTGAGTTACTTTTCTCGTTGAACGATGAAGAAAGAAGTACCGTCCGACGTCTCGAAAATGAAACAAAAAAGCTGAATAACACCAAACATGCTGTCGTGTTTAATGACATATATATATATATATATATATATATATATATATATATATATATATATATATATATATATATATATATATATATATATATATATATATATATATATATATATATATATATATATGCCCCATATATATATATATATGGGGCATTCCATGTCAACCGGGACAGCCAAAATCCTTGGTATACTTGTTGGCTATTGGGTGAAACCTCTGAGGGTCAAAGGATTTTGTCATATGCCCTCGGGCTACAGAGATACAAGCCGCTAAACTTCTGCTTTTTTAGCAGAATTGGACGTGTATTGCAATCTTGAAAGATCTATAGCTTCAACATTTTTGAAGCTATTAATTTCAAACAAACTGAAACGTGTACATAAGGAGTTATGCTAGTTAAATTTGGTAATTTTAACATTTTTTGGTGATTTTGAATTTATCTTATTTTGAATTATTTTTTTAAAATCTAATTTGTGAAAAATGGGTACCCTTCGATTTTGCTCAAATTTAGATATTGTATTCCACTACACGTAAGGCATACGTGCTGAGAAAATTAGAGTGGGCCAACGATAACTTTAGATGATATAGCAACAAGTAGTGCAACGTAGCACGGGCGATGGAAGGGGCTGATTTCGCCAACCCCACCTGTTTTTCGCCAGTAACTCACGCCATAATTATCATATTAACGCCAAACTTTCAGCATCTGTCCAGAATTGAATTGCAAATCCTCCCGTGCAAGCAATAGGTAAATCGGTCCACAACTTTTCTAGCAATAACGGTGTAAAGTCAAACATCTTGCCGGAGCGGCGCGGCGGCCGGCGCCGGCCGTTGCCGCCTGAATGGTAGACTGTGCCGGCGCGCGACGGTTCCATCTTTGCACTGCGCTTCTTACCGCTGATTATGATCGATTCGTGTCAAATTTTGTGTGAAGGCTTAAAAATGTACAGGCAATCTAATATTCAAATAAATACGAAAATCAACTGGTAAAAATTGAATTATTAGGGCGCAAACACAATCTGTGACTGAAACGTTTCCCGCGTCGGCCGATCCCCGTCTTTGCCGGCGACATCTTCTTACTCTTAGCAGGCCACTAACTGCCAAATTTATGGTTAGATTAACTAGAGATTCTCATAACACTACAAATGTCGTATAAAGGAAGAAATAGGAAAATCGGCCGGTAACTCTTAGAGCTATGGGCGTATAAACGCAAAATAGTCACTATAGCAAATTCAATCACGATTAACCTCATTTGATCTTGAAGATATTGATCTAGGGCCATGAAATTGGCACACGATAAAGTTCCCCACCGCCCCACCTACAATTCAAATTCCGTTTTTTAATACCTTTTTTGGCTAAACCGGGCCTTTCTCCCCTAGCGCTGGGAGAGTCAGGCGTATTTCCTTTTTGCAACCAAAGAGAGGCGCTGCCCGGAGAATGCCCAATTGCATTCTCCGGGCATTTGGGTAGCATTTGGCCAGTCGGCAACTGGCTGTACATATTTACGCGTGTTAGATCAGGTCAGGTCACGTCAGGTCAGGCTAGGTTTGCTTTGGTTTTGGGTAGAAAGATCAAAGAAGCATCTCCGGGTAGCGCCTCTCCTTGGTTGCTAAAACGAAATACGCGAGTGCCAGACATTACGAAGTCCAAAAGACAGTTACGTAGACGTCGGCCCATTCTGGATTTTTTTATACGATGGAGCTAATGTATGGGAGAATAAAATATGTAAAAATCAGCAAAATCGAAGGGTACCCATTTTTCAGAAAATCAAAATTTATTTTTTGAATTTTAATTTAGTTCATTAATTAGCTTATTACGTCAATACTGTCATCCTCAAATTAAAGCCTGATGTATTCCCTCCATTTCACACTTAGTCTCATGGTGCTATTGTGATGAGTGCCCCCAGGGGGTCCGGAAGCGGTGGGGAGTATGTTTTCAAAAAAAAATATTGTTTAATAAAATTTCTTTCATCGGGGGTGTTTTTCTTTCCGAGATGGTTGCCGACCTGCGCCGTGCTCTGGAACAACCTCAGGTGAGTGTTTTCGACTGGTAGATCCTCAAATGGTTGATTAACGAGTTGATTTTCTTGCTGTTTGACTTCTCTCTTGTTCAAACGCAATTGCACACCCATTTTCAATTGATGATCGGTCCGTTGGTTTCAAGCTGACCGATTCCTTTCCGCCACCGTTCCTTGCGCCTGGGGCTCGTCACAAACAATATTTATAATGAGGCTGGCTTGTCGCTTGTCAACATATAGTCTTCACTGCCTAGGATGGTATCTGTCTCATAAGGAATTTAGGACACGGAAGTCTCCCCAAAGTATATAATTTTGATGCCTCCCTTGAGGACATAACCTGAAGCCACCATCTAATACCTGATAGCTGCCCACCATTTTCTCTCCCTTTCTTATGCCTATCATCCCAAAGATAATCGAGTCCATCCCCATTTAATGTCGCCCTCAATGCTGAGATTAGATCTCCCGCTGGTCCTTACACTATATGACGCATACCTCAATCTCCCTCAGACTCACTCTCTTTGTCATACCTCTCTCATCCCACTACAATAAATTTGATCCCGCGTCGACCTCTCAGTCCCTCCCAGCAATTGTTCTAACTCCCTCCAGCGGTACATATCAGGGACAATAAACGCAATTTGTTCAATAGACTCCGTGGTTAGTGTAAGTTTCATCTAAGCTTACTCTTACCTCCCAACGACTTATCGCGCCCTATTCCAACATTGGAATCGTGTGTGCTCTTCCTAGCACCTCTTGGGCTCCCTGGCCCAATATCCTTGAACACCTACATCACCTGACCCTGATTACTTGTCTAAAGGTGCAACGCAGGTAGCGATTACATTATTAGCGTTCGTCGATGGATGTGATTGGTTCAATCAATCTCTGCCGGCCCACTCTCTTCGAACACCTACATCATTTGACCCCGATTACTTGTCTAAAGATCGACGCGGGTAGCGTCAGTTATTAGCGTTCCTCAGTGGCTTATGATTGGTCCGTCAACCTCTGCCGCTCACGGCACATCTCTGTTTCCCTACTAAAACCCCGCGGCCGGACGTTGGTTACTGACCCTTGCAGCCCTTCTGTGAGAGACCGTCTTACGCGTTTTCACCTAACGAACCGGTGGACACAATCCTGCTGCCCGGCGACCGCAGTCTCACTGGGCTCATAGACAGGTACCTACTCCGTACTCTCATGCAGTCATGGCACCCGCAAGTGGCGCCTTTGAATCATTGACCGGTGTGACTCGAAGACTCCATGACTGAATCTATCCTACAATTTTATCCGACGCCGTGGAATCCTGTCCTGCAGATGTGTGTTCAAGCGCGTTAGCGTCATGAGTGATACATGCTGCGATCCTTTCCGACGGTGGACTTACCTCACCTCATCCTGGCGGAATTACCCCTTCGCCTCAATCTATCACCTTCGTATTTTGTCACTCACCTTCGGCGGAGTGCTCCCTCGTCCTGTCTCTCTGACTCACCTCTCAGCTTGGGCGTCTTATGGCGTTCTTTGTTCTGATATCTGCCTAACATATTTACTTACTTACTCCGTAACGTGAGACAGTCCAATCCTAGAAGACTTAGACGTATCAGCAGAGTCAAAAACACATGAAAGTGTTGCAACATACCTCCTCTTCGGCTAGCATCCATCCTTAGATCTTTCCTCCTTTTGTAATTCCGGTTTCAATAGCTATCGACCACTTCAGGGTCACTCCTTCTGTATCTCCTTACCTGTCTGACCCGTAGAATCCCTTCAGTCCATGTGCGCACCGCTGCGCGGTACGAATCAATTGTTACCCGCGACCCGAACAAAAAAAAAATCATTGGATAGAGAAATCTGCGCCGCCAAATACTCAGACCATCTACTACTCCTTTCGTCTACACGATGTTTACGCCTATCAGCCGAAACGTTTCTACCGTAGCTTACTATATTCACTCAGTGACGTCATATTTCTAGGAGATTGCCAGTTTCATACTTGTTGATCGGTAGTGACGTCATAAGATCCTGTCGCCTGCGGGTTAGTACATCCTGACCTCTCATCGTTCAACCTTGGAGACGCTAACTTTGATCGGAATTTCAACTCGACTATTCTGAGTGTTGCCTGTGATTTAATGAAGTAATTCTCAGTAGTGCCCAATCATTTGTGATCATGAATATTTTTATGTGGATTGTTGTCTGGCGTCCCTCGCCACGTTGTCGCAAATTTCTCTGGGGACGTAAGTATTTGCATCAAGGGAATTCTAAGGTAGTGCGCCGGATTAGTCTCAATTTGGCATTTCAATTTAAAAACAATCCAACTCATGTGATTTCATGTTATCTTACTGAACCGATTTATGAGAGTCAATTTTATAATGCAGGTTTTATTGACATACTCGACTAGATGATTTATTTAACCTGCAATTCAGTTGCAATTGACAATCGACTTGTGGTGTTCTAATTTAAGGAAGCTCGGTTTACCGATTGCTATGTTGTTGAAGGTATACAAATTTTGGCAAATGTGATATCCAATTATTCGAGTGGGAACATCAGCAATGAGAAATGGTTATATCAAATCAAGCGGGGACTGTGTCCACTTCCAGTCTTGAGGACAGGTTAAACTTTCTGACAATTTTATGCTATGCAACTGGAATTGCGCGGTCGGTTGGCAGGCCGAGTTCACCACAACAAGCTATGCTTAGTGCGAGCTCTGATTTCTCAACTCTGCCCATTCACCCATTCAGACTAAATTAAAAAAAAGGCAAGAGCAGTAACTTTAACAAGCTAATGGGAACCGTCCAATGGAGAATGGTGCTAATTTCAAACTAAATTGATGGCTCGGCAAAGACTGGTGTAATCAATAGTACGCTCATTGCCATTTCTCCAGTGTTAATGGTAATTTGATTTATTTACCTAGTGGGTACTTTTGCTGGCAAACCTGCTATTATAATCTCAGTCAAGGTAGCTGTCCAGGATAGAGGACAATCCGATAGACAGCCCTTCATTGTATCTGTTCCGCCATCTGACAAAGTTTGTCATGTTCAATGATGCCTTATAAATTTCAATTCCAGGATATCCCTTTTAACCCTCTAGTGCCCCCGGTATCATATCTGTAAGTCAATTTGCAGAAAATTCGCGTGCTAATCCTGAAGGCGAAAATTGTTGAAAACCCTGCTGTATCAGAAGTGGTACGTCTTGGCAACCACCTGGTGGCAAAATTTTTAAGTAATGATTTCTCAGTTTCCCACCAGGTGATTTTGAAGAGGGTCAGTTTGTCCTTTGCTGAAAAGCTATTTGAGATGCAAGTGTAAATTTTAGCATTTAAAAACAAAAAATAGTTATTTGGAAAGAAACTTGGTATACTGTGAGACAAATGTCCAGCATTTTTCACAGTACGTTGCAAAACATCGCAGCTATTTCAGGGTCAAAGATATGGACCCCTAATTTGGGGGATACTAGATATGATACAGTGGGCATAGCACTCCAATATTTTCTATGAAATTTTCGCCGCTGCAACATACGGTGTGCCAATACCATAGTTTTCTCACGTGATAAGCATTGCAATGGCCTGTGAGTCATTGAAAATGACGATGGTACAAGATGCATAAATTTGTGAAGTTCGCACCTCTGGCGTCAGATAACTCTATTTCGCTCCAGACTCGATATTTCATAACGATATTCGTACGCTTATGCCGCCTCTCATCCTTGTCAATCACCTAACATCTAGCTGTCCATGAGTGGCCTTACGTGCCTCATACATCTCGACTTTTCTAACGCTCATAGGAATCTGGTTTTCCAACTGTTTGACGATTATAACAGTGAACTTTTTGATCTGCAGGACACTAGCAGACCATATCTTCTAAAACCACGTTAGGAATGACATGCCATCGATGACAAGCTTGTTGATTTCAAGGGACGATCATCCGTGCAAGCATTTATACTCGTGAAACCAAAAATTGAGACTTGACTATGTTTGGGAAAGGAGGATTCAGCGGTCTCTTGCACAATTTCGATATTCCAACAGGGTTTGTGGACGGGCTTATGTCTTGTGGGTCTATGTCTTAGCTGGGCATGACCGAAGACTTGCATTAGCAGCCAGCCAGCATTTTTCATTCATATTGGAGAACGACTCACAATTTGTTTGCGATTCAAATTCCCTCCGTTCATCCCAGTAGTAAGAGATTGAATGTGGAGTGGAAAACTACACCGTCATCGTCAGAGGAAGCTAGCTAAACGGACTCGCCATGAAGACAGACGTCAAGACCGAAGGACGTGGTTCCTTTGATTTACGTATCCAAGAAGTAGGCAACCATGCACTGCTGCCAGGATCCAGCAGGTGCCTGACACCTGGCAAACATTTTTACTGCCAGGTATGTCATTTGTTGTCATATATTGACATATGCCGCCAAGTATGGTAGCTGATTGCCACTGAACAAATAGGATTTATACTAAAACATGGACACTGACCATAAGAATACAAGTTAAAGTGCGGCATTGCGTACGCTCACCTCCATATGAGGTCAATGAACATTGTGCAAGTTCCTGCCGATCGGTACACAGTTACCTGTACCTTTGTTGTCTGACACGTACAACGGTTACTGCACTGGTCACTGGTCAGTGCGCGGCTGTTGTACTGACGCCGATGACATGAGGACCGCACGACCGGTCAAAGTGCTAACTGACGATTCACAGGCTGAGAGTTTCAGTCAGCAGGGATTGTCCGGCTATCGTGAAGATAAACCAACATCGTCTTTGGCATTAATTCCGGTCCGTCGGCAGGCTGTCCAGCATTTTGCATCAGAACTGCTTCACTTCGACCACTTACCGACCAACCGTAATGTCTTCATTTTTGTATCAAGTATTATAATGGACGTTTGAGAAGCATGGCCCACATGTCTGAATTATGAAAAAATGCACAAGTGCAACGCGCTGTATCGTGGAAATTAAAGGAATAGAAGGCACTCGTAAAAAGATGCCTATGATTAGCGTTGTTCCCTTAGTACCGACTGAAAGGGCATTTTGATACAAGTAGGATGCCAATGAAATATTAAGAAAATGTTCTGATAAGTGGCACACAGTAAAGGATTTCTTGTTTGCATTTTACACATTTTAACTGCCGCTTTTATCTCTGAAATTTTTCAAAACATATATCTCCTCATCTATGTCTTCACTTCCTTCTGTGTGGTCTGATACCACTAAAAATAACCAAGTGGCATGCCCAATGTATCATATTTGATACACAAATTATTTCCGAAATTTGAACTGCGAAAAAAAATTTGACTTCAGATTTCGAACAAGGGACCCAAAATGAATCATAGGTCACGAGGTGCTAATTTTAGTAACCGTGGAACTATGTGTGGGCATTAGAGGGTTAAGTGAAACCGCACTGGTCTGAAACTGTTGTGCTAGCATCCAAGGCCAGATATGAGATCAGTTGTGACTTGAGAGGTCATTGATCATTGACATTGAAATTCCATGTTCAATAGATCATGTCAATAGAAAGGGATCAAACAACCTTGGATGTTACTGGGAATAACATGACTCGAATTGATGCATGCTACTGATTTATCATCTGAATTTATTAACTGGCATAATCCACTGACCAGTGAGTACTCAAGGGTCATGCGACCTTGTTTCTTAACTGACACTTAGGCAAAATATATATTTTTTTTAAACAAATTGTTTGGTATCAAGCCGTAATTTGGGTCCATGAGGTGATCTGCCACAACTTCGTAGGTATCATCTTTGCATTCCTCAATTTTAACGTATCCCTCCTAAACTCTGTAAGTATAGTTGTCAGTGGCTTTTCACGCCGCGCATGACATGAGATTGAATGTCATCCTAGCTTGGGGTGGCAATGACCTTTGCCATTTTTGTTGCACATGTTTGTTAGGGAATGACACTAGAAATGTGACTGGGGTGGGTGTAATTTCCTCACAAGTCCCTGGTGCTGCTCAATTGAATCTAACGCCATCCGACTCAGTCATGGTGACTTTTAAGTCTTTCAATTTCTAAGTTTTAGTGATGCGCGCTCAATCATAACACAATTAGTCTCCCCATTCCTGTTTTAGCCTATAATTGTCTGCTAATCTGATGTTAACCTGACTCGCGATGTAGAGTTTGGTTTCGACTGACAAAGGTAACCAGTTTCTCCCAGAATTAGGCCGTAGAGTTGTTCACCAAGATTTACTAAATTTTGATCATATGTGACTGCTGTCTATTTCTCCCCCTTTTGCCACCTGCAAATTTGTCCGTCTTTTCTACTGAGGTCATCGTGGGTCAATCGTTGAAAGAAGGGTTCGTCCAGCTGTCTTAACAGATAATTTCTTTCTCTCAGCAGGTCCATATTGGTGCATTGTTCACGGTTCCGCTGAGCTGAGGGCTTGCTGGGCCAGCGCTCTCCAATCCGACGGGACTGGATGTGAGATCTACTGCCCACGCCCTTGGCTTCCTCTGGTCTACATTAGCAATTCACACTTTGCCTACTGATTTGCAATGAAGTATCATACCCTACTCGGATGTTTACGATAAATTAAGTGTAATTTCAATGCAATGATCACTAAATGTTATTTAGATCATTTGAGAATGTGCCCTGTGATCAAAAGCTATCTTGTTTGATTCCCTCATATGTTAGATGTTGAAACGAAGTTGAAACTCAGACCTTTGGTTTGTTATTGCTCTGAGTCCTTTAAACAAAAGATATTTCATCGAATCTATACGATATCTGTAATTTAAGCCAACGCAGAGAGTTAGGTGATAACCATTTTTAAATGCTTGTAATTATGAGCTTAGTGGTGACATGACCTTGTTCCACACCTGACCGGTGACCATTCTGACTCACCGACGCTTTTGGCGCCGCCTAGTGGATGTAGTTGTAGGTTACACGGGCTAGGTGGCAGTAGAGTGCCACGTATCTAATTCGTACCAAAAGCTTTCATTTATGGGGTCGATCTTTGTAAAGACTGAATTAAAACGTTTTGCTTCGACATCCTCCTCCCTCTTTCTCTCTCTCTCTCTCTCTCTCTCTCTCTCTCTCTCTCTCTCTCTCTCTCTCTCTCTCTCTCTCTCTCTCTCTCTCTCTCTCTCTCTCGCTCACTCACTCTCTCGCTTACTCACTCTCTCGCTCACTCACCTTCTCGCTTACTCACTCTCTCGCTCACTCACCTTCTCGCTCTCGCTCTCTCTCTCTCTCTCTCTCTCTCTCTCTCTCTCTCTCTCTCTCGCTCACTCTCTCTCTCTCTCTCTCTCTCTCTCTCTCTCTCTCTCTCTCTCTCTCTCTCTCTCTCTCTCTCACTATGATCATTCACATTCGCCCTCTCACTCACCCACTCATTTCAGTCAGTCACACGCAATTGCGTGCCGACACGAGGGACCTCTTGCGGCAGTTTAGGGAACCAGCTTGGTCTATTTCACGCTAGGCGGCACTGCTAGTACTGTCAGCTGCATCTGAGCGCTGTCGGAGTTTGTGCCGAGGGCAATGGATCTTGTAGGTGGCGCTAGTGGTGCTACCGTTGGTGCGTCAATTGACCTGTTAATTGTTTAAGGTCATGTTTAAGGTCAAGGTCATACATTTTTCATTTCGCGCGGACTACAATCGCTCAGTTTAGAGAAAAGCTCACAGGTCCAACATCAGCTAATTAGGGTCTGCATCTCGTTCAGTAAGGTGGCCTGGGGACAATCTGACCTGAATAGAACAAATTCTTTATTCTACATGAAGGACATGAGCTGCGGTAATTTCTCGCTTCCCTCCGTAACCAACTCTAGGCGTGTGCAAGCAGGGTGACATTTTTGACATAATCACGTCACATTGAACGGTAACTCGCTTGATGTTTATGATCCATTGTCTCAAATGATGCATCAATTTAGCAACCGTATCATTTCCACGTTATTCTTTGATATACCTCGAAGGGGGAGCTGGCATCAATATCCGTTAGGTACTGATAATGCTAGGAGAGAAAGGGGGATTGATTGACAGGTTACGAACAGCGATAAATTTATAACGATTGAAAAGGTGATTCAGATTTGTATCGGTTATATGAACGCGAATCACGAAACGACTCAATGCTGATTTAATAACAACCCGGAAGGCGATTCAGACCCCCAGCGTTCTTGTTCTGGCGCTGAGCTGCCGAAGGAGCAGAATAATGTTTGATGTTTATGTTTACTCTCCTTATCCGAATGTAACTGAACACGTCACGACTTCTTGGGCCGCCTTCGTATCAAACCTTATCCAAATGGTGAATCTGTCCCAGGAATGTGGCGATCCTACGCTGACCGTCGATTTATCTCGAATAGCACTTGTAAGAATTGAGAATCGATTGACAGACTTGGAATTAACACTAGATTGACAATGGATTGATACGCTGGCCTACCGAGTTCAAACTAGTTAGATTATGAAACAGCTTATGCTGACCTGCTAGCTTCAAAAAAAAATGTATCTGTGATGGTCGCGTCGTGAGGGGTGATCATTGCATTTCCGTTGATTGATGATCAGACGGCCGTGGCGTAGTCTCATTTAACTCCGGTGAACCTGTGGTGTGAGGCCGGCGTGAGGCCGTGTGATCGACGATGACGACTCAATGATAATTACGTTAGCGGTCTCTGTGAATCCGAATCAGCAACATATCTGGAGTAACCCTCCCTTCTTTTTTTTCCAGACAGATTGTTAAATTTTCACGCTATATTTACAAACGGGCGATACAGCAGTGGTCAAGCTCAAGTCCTAAACGGTGCACTGCGATCGAGATAGTCAACTCGCCATTCTCGATACAAACTTAGCCTTAAACCTAATCCTAGCTCCCTCACCGCAAAAAAAAAGATTAATTACAACCATCGCCAATTGAACTGTCATGACGTCATCTGACGTAGTTTGACGCGTCAATGGTGACCAGCGCCCAAAAAAATGATACCACCTGACCTGTTCCCCTCCCCTCGAATCCCACACCCCACTGCGGCCGGACCGCGCGCGTGATGGCCGACAGATAGTGCCACCCCAATACCAATGTAATGGTGAGCCATTAGCCTACACTGACCATTACTAACCCGCCCCGGCTGTCCCTCTAACCCCTCTGTCTATCCCATAGACAAGGCCGGACCAGTCAGGCCCATTAGCCCCTCCCCGCCTTTACGAACAGACGCACCACTGCCGCGCTGCTCGGTCGGGAGCGGAATGTAGCGACCCTCTGCCCTCCCTTACAAACAGGTCGTACCGCGGCCTGCCCGGCCGGGACGCAATATGGAGCGCACGAGACCATCCTACCGCCCTCCCCTACACGGTGTTAACCCATTACCCTCCTAATGGTGGCTCAAGTTAGACCTCAGGGAGTGGCATTTGTAATCCAGATCAGAGACATCCGATGGGTAAATGGGAGGTGAATTGTCCATGACGGGGAGGCAGTCTTGATGAGGCGGACAGATGAGATGACTCACTTGACAGTTTGATGATGATTGACACGTCGAATCTCCGTCGCGGCAGCAGAGTCCCTCCGCTCCGGCAGGGGTGGGGTCGGCCAGCCTCAGACCGAGACGTGCCGGCCGACCCGCCGTCCAGATGAGCTCTCCTCCTCGTGGTCTGTCACCCGTGGTCTGATACCGTAGTCTGTTCCCCTCTCTCCTTCTGCATTGAGTTTTGTTCTCCCGTGATTTCCGGGCCGGAGGTTCCGGGCGTCGCCGGGCCTCGCTGACCGGGGCAGAAAATTGGCGACATCCCGTCTCGCATCCGGAGTCGAGACCGTCGCCCTCCTCCTCCATTCCGCCGGAACGTGACGTCATCCTCACTTGCTCGGCTCATCCGTCTCAGCTGTCTCCTGCCGGATGACGTTTTCACACTCGATTTTCGCCGGATGTCGGTCCCTGCCTGTGCCGGACGGCTGACCGCAACGACATCCTCCCACCTTCCTGTCAGCTGCGTCGGCAGGATGTGCGTGGCGCCAGGCGTCGGGAGGCTGGTCCAGCACCGGCAGCAGGTGTTTCCGGCTGCGTTGCGTTTGTCGGCGGCCACTGCGCCGGCCCGGATGGGTGTGTTTGTACTCCACCCTTCGGCGAGCCTTTGATCTTCGCTTAATGGTGACCGGCCGACGAGTCGGGGATCGTTTGGTCGACCCCCTCCCCACGCCGGCTCAGCGCCGCGGCAGACAGTGCGATCGTCCATCGTCCTTACGTATAGAGTGTGAGAGATGTCCTTTTTGATGTACGGAAAAAAATGTTACAGCTTCCAGCTGTTACATTTTCAGGCTTCTTCTTTTAATTGTGCCCCCACAATTAAGGGTGGGCTTGTTCTGCATGGTAGTCGGCTGGCCTTCTTCATCTGCCTTGGCTAGGACGTTGAGGTCCTCTGCCTCCCTGCGATGCGAGGGTGCTGTTTCTGGACTCCATGGGTAACGCCTCCTCGATCCTCCGACAGCTGGTTATGGTGTAGCCATCCCCCCGAGGTCAGTTCCCTTGCCACCATTTGCCCTAACCTAGCTTACACCCTAACCATCCCATAAGTGACACTTCCCCCTTTCGGTATTCCATTCCCCGAGTTAGTTACAGTAGGTCATGTCCTAATCGTCTTCCCCCCCAACATTCGTAAGGTGGTTGCTTGACAAGCCGAGTAACCAGTAAGTACAACACCTCTGTTTTAAGTACTACGCACCATCAGATATCTACCCCTACATTAAACCTAATGACACACTGCGCGCATATTGTCACATCGGTACATACGTCGCTCCATGTTGGTACGACGGCCCGTGGTGGCTCCCTAGTAGCCACTTGGACGAGAGGTCTTGGGCCTTCCCACCGATCGCCGCCTGGCGTGACCCCCTTGGTTGCTCGTATCCAGGCCGGGGTCGGTCGTCGTAGTCGTGTAGTCCGCTTTGTTGGCGTCAGGGCATCGGGCGCTTTTAGAGCAACGCCTCTGCCAACGCCTTGGTCGATCTGGTTCCCTCCATGGTTGGGTGCTGTTGTCGTGAAGTCCGGTTTGTTGGCGCCAGGGCATTGGGCGTCTTTGAGCAACGCCTCTGCCAACGCCCTGGTCGATCTGGCTCTGCCAGGGTTGGGCGCTGTTGTCGTGAAGTCCGGTGGCGGTAACCCGCGAGGGTGCTCTGGAGCTGCACGTCTCAACGCCACAGTGGTAACGTTGCTTGCTCTGGTACCTGGAACAAAAGAGAAGGGGGAGGGTGCTTCTTGGGTCGAAGGGGGGGAGAAGGAAAGTATTTGGCGGTTGGACATGACCCTTGGAGTGGTTAGGATGGGGTTGGGATGGTTGTTGAGCAGGATTGGTGTTACTGGGGTTTGTTGTTCGGCCTCCATGGAGCACATCAACTCTCCGTACCTCCCCTTGGTGACCATGCCTTTGTTTCTGTAATGCAGTTATCTGGGTGGCCTGTTTTCTGTTTCACCAGCTGCTCCGTGCGTCCCCGACAGCTCGATTCATTCATC